CAATCAATCAATCAATCAATCAATCAATCAATCATACAGTTACTAAAATCCACTTGAAAACATATATTTGCAATGGGACTTGGCACACCTTTGCTTGTAATAACACAAAGTACCTGTTCGTTGCATCTTCATCGTATATATCATCTTCATGTTATCTTTGAATTTTCCTTCACAAAAGTATGCTCCAATGCTTTCACCGGACTTTTCTCTTTGCCATATCACTTTTTTTGCTATTCTTCTTGTTTTGTCCTCAGCCACTGCCAAGGGGTTTCGATTTTGGCTCATTAAGGCATCATAATCTCGCCCAATTTTAATAGAGTCCAGGGAACACCATCTAGATGCAATACAAATGAGTGATGTTTCTGAATCGGCCACAGTGGGGAGTGAGTTGATCAATATCAAATCAAATGCTGTTTCTGCATTGCCTGCAACAAAAGAAGGAAGCTTTTGAAGAATCCACTTAGTTTTGCTTCTTTATGTTGGTCTTTTATCCTCATCTTTCAGTGGAACCATAAAAAGCAAAGCAGAATTGGGTCTGGTCAGTGTTGTAGATGGGGGAGTGCTTGGAAGTCCCAGGGCTGTAGGCCAGGCTGTGAAGTTGAAAATGGAGAACCACTTCTACTCCGTTGCCAAAAACACTACACGCACGTGTCCATGCGGTCACCAGAAGTCCAGCTCAAGTCAAGGGAATGTTTAATGGAGGGGGGAAAGTCCTGAATAAAAATGTTCCTTGTGACTCACCTCACCACGTGATTCCAATCTGTTTTTCTTTTCTTAACTTTATTCAGTTCAGATTACATGGAATGGGGTGTAGGAGGAGAGTCACAGGAAACAGCCTAGAAATACCAGAGTCCTGCAGCCAGGCCTGCCCCGTTCCTGTTGCAGTGCCGTGATTAATGGAAGCTTGGCCCACTGGATGTTGACGTGTTGAGGAGGGAGGACAGCAAAGCTGGAGGAATCACCGGTTGTTTTGCTTATCGTAAGCTGCACATGCCTAGTTGGGGCAGCACCAAGTGGCAATGGCTCTCAGTAGATACCATAAGACGAGATGGGGCAGCAAATTTCAAGCCAATAGAGCTTTCTGCCAATTCATGCATAGGCAGATAGCACTTTAACTCAGCAGTGGAGAAAGGCCATAAATGTGGTCAAATTAGTGAGGAGCTTCCTGAATTTTAATGAGCTTAGGTATAGAAAGCTTTGTGTGTCCTTTCTCTCTTTCTCTTGATAGACCACATTTTATTTTTACAGCTATTCCATTATCGGTGATGATTAAGTAATAAGAGTATATTCCCATAAATAAGGCATTGCTTTCCTTCATCATATTTAACCCACAGAAATTGGCATCGTTAGACAAATGGCACAGGATGATTACATGCCATGGAGAATGTTTTGCTTATGACTGAAATAATTTATGGAGCAACATAGATACAGTCTTTTAAAATTCAAAAGTTTTGATTCATGGTTTCAGCAAGATTGGTGTTTACTACAGACGTTTAGTTTTGGGCTGCTATCCAAGGGTGGAGCAGGTTTCTATGTCAATATTTTTGTCTTTAAAGTCTGAGGGGAATTAATTACACTTATAGTTGCCACTCCTATTGATTCAAATACAGTCCCACTCTTGACAATCCCAACCAAGATAACTTGCATTGTCTAATAGAGGAGGAATATTTTCTGAGAAGAGCAGCCTAGATATTACTATAAACACTCTAGACAGAAATGCCCATTGAAAGGAAATCATATCTAAATACTCTGGCTTTCCATAATGGTAGCCATTTTTGTTGTTCCCTTTTAACACTGCTGCCTTGGCATGTCAGTTTGTTTCTAGGACATACTACTCATTAATGGTGGATTGAATTAAGAGCAAAGCGCATTCACAGAAGTTTCCCGCAAGCATGGGCTTCTGATACTAAACTTCCAGGCCTCGCTTCCAGGCCTTTGACCTCTTGCCTTCCTGCAGAGTTACCTAGAAATAGCAGAGATGAACTTGCTGTGGGAATAAGATCCTTTAGCCGTCTGATGCCTGGGATCATTCTGTGGCAGCAAGACGGGAGAGATATTTTTTTTCTAGATTTTTTAATCCCGCCTTTATTATTTTTATAAAAAACTCAGGACAGCGAACATACCAATACGTCTTCCTCCTCCTATTTTC